TCCTGGCCATAACGTCCCCGTATATTATAATTAAACTGAGTTTAATCACGTTCGAAACAGAAGACTGTTATGCAAATTGGTGCAACTCAACACTGTACAAACACAACTTTAGAGTTCCCTGTATTGTCTTTTTTATCGTTTTAGTCAACAAAAGGTGTATAATACTAGTAATAAGGTCATAAACAGAAAACAGGAATTTACTCTGCGTCAATATCGTTGCACTGAGTTGTAAATTCCGGTATTTTGTGAATAACCTCATATTGTATTTTGGTGTTTTGGAAAAGAAGGTTAATAAGAAACGTGAATGAATGTGATAAATAACGTATGTTTTAGATATAACAATAGTTGTAATCTATATAAGTTGTTTATTAAAAATAATAATTTCAGTGGGGTAATTTTATCAGGTGGCTTAGAATTGGGGAGTGGACATTTTACAAAAAAAACAATCTGCATAGGGTTACAACAAGTGGATGTAAGCGTAAATATTCCTCAATTCGTAACTCAAACGTGATAACCATGACAGTTATTCTCACTGTTATTAGTCTGTGACTACCACGGCTAATCAACTAAAACTACGCCTCGTGGTGAAACCATCTATTTAGTTAAGTTTTAATATAACAGCTCTCAGTTAAATGTCGCTGCCCTCTTAAATACAACTTTCCTAAACCAGTTGCTATTTTAAATGACTCACTCCAAAGTATTGAGGACCTACCCTATACCACAAGTACACGACATTCACAAAACAATTAGTTCGTCGAATAATATAGTTTTATTGTAAAGTGTGAAGATATATAAAAAAATCACTGTACAATTGATAATGATACAATTTAAACAAAAACGTTTTTTCAGTTCAAGATAGTTTTACTTTAAATTCTAACTCAATGAACTATGCAAATACATACATACTTTGAATTAAAATTACATGTCAATAATGTATGTGCATATATATAGATCATCGTTTCATCAGACAATTACTGAATAATATACATATCAAACAATTTTAATAACGCAATTCAGCAAAACTTTTGCTGACTTGGTTATGATGAGTGTTTTGGAACATCAGGATTAAAGTATTCCAAACTGCGTGCTTATAATGTTCAGCACAATATGTATATGTAGTTTTGCCGATTTTGAGATTTGGCCAATTACGATAACTGTACTTCGTATGAATATTTATTATATCCAACAATTTACACTCGTCAAATTAAATTTCTCTAGATTACGTTCATTGCGCAAATATTTTCACATACCTTCCTGTATACTCTGCAACTATATATCACTCAAGCATTTGGTTTGTCGTCCGTTAAACATTTACGCTACGGAGAATACACCCTATTCTGGTCACTGTCAGTTCTAACTAGAAATCTGCCACTGCTATTAAACTTTAGCATTTTATCATTGGCGCAATTACACACAAACATACACATATATCTGCCAGTCACGTGGCCTCTGGTTGGTTTAACTCACCCTCAATGTTTCTTTCAAATGTAACAGTAAATCACGACAAGCCAAATGAGTCTAACACTTCCACACGATTATTATTTTATTCTGGTCCAAAATATTGCCACCAGAATTAACATCAATTCCATTTAATCCGTCTAGTCTCTCCAGACTGATTTTCCTTTCTACCAAAAGACATACGGTAATCTCCTTCCTGGCTATACAAACAGATGCAATCTGAGTCTCTATCTGCAACATACACTTTCCCATTTGTTGGACTGATGTGCAATACCATTTGGATCATCTCGCTCATTGTTAGCAAAACACCTCATCCGTCTACCGGTGTCATCACATACAACCACCTGTCTATTGATACGGTCCGTAGTGAATATATAACCTTCATTTGACACTGCTGAATACATTGAATGGAATGACTTTGGGAAATTCGTGAATGTAATAGTTGAATGAAAGACGTCATACAGAGAGTATGATAGTTGTATTAATATTAAACTTGACTAAGTTGTAGATGTGATGTCACGTGTCATATTGACTGTGCAATGCCTATGCATAGGTATCATCATCTGTATCTCATTATCTCTGAAAACATTAACATTCCCCAAAATACTATCGTCATAATTGGATGTACAATAGTTATTGCAGTGACATGCCAGACACAGATAACACAGGTCAGAGGTCATGGTGAATTGTGCATTTTTACAAATCACTGTCATATTGCATAAAATATAATTGATAATATCTGTGATCAGCTTCTAACATTCCACTACGTGAAAACCTTTTCTTCTGTATGAGAGGGTAAATGAATCCGATCTTCCGATAGATGGGAATACCTGCGTTATTTTCGAAGACAGGTACTCGTAGCTTTTGGATGTACCTTGATCCACAGCAAATCGACGAATTTCTTGACTGTCGTCGGCAGTCTCTAAATATGCTATCACTGTAATAGACATGTTTATACTGTGGAAAGATGGAACACATTTCGGAAGCGGTAAAACAATTTAATCTAATGGAAGAGATGAGTTTTAAAACAAGGGATAAAGTAGAAATGATAGACAGACAGCTAAACTCATCATAAATATAAACGCAGTGTATCAATATGTTATGACCTGAAACTGTGACCTCAAGTTGAATGTGTCTGGAGGTTGGATCTGTTATATATATACACAAATCTACAGAACCAGATGGTTACAAATTACGAAATCGTGCACATGAGTCACACCAAACAAATTGCTCAATACCCACCTCGCGGGTGGCTTCTCTGAACACGAGAGTGCGCGATGCTAAAAATAGTACATAACGTCATTTTCAGCATTTAACAATACACCGAGAAATAGCGCCCGCTGTTGACAACCGAGGTATGTTTCATGGCAATTTAGCAGAATATTGTTTTTCGTTTCGAGGAAAGATAATAGTTATCTCTTTTCGAATCAGTTCATATTTACATTAACTTTTGTTCTATACCGAGTTTGTTATTAGTTCTTTTCCATGTATTCAAGATGCCGACCTACACGGAATATGAATTCCTTGTAATACATGACAAGGAAACAAGTTTCTAGAAAATGAGAGAGAAAAATACCAAAAAGGTGCATGTTCTATAATGAAAGTGATATAAGTACCACATTAATAATAGCTGATAAGTACTAGAAAAGTGATCGACCGCGACACCCAACCAGTTCCATCCCATCTTTGTATTTTGAATATTGACTGCGCCAACAATTCGCGTATGAAACGTTGAAGTGGTGGAGGTATAGACAATCACCGTCCATTGGTCATTGTGTTAACAATTCTATCTGCGTAATTGCTGGTATTGAAGAGTGGGGATTAGTGAATGCTTTATTTTTGCATTACCCCCCGTTGCCATGGCTACACATGTATGCATACGTTTTGAATATCACTGCAACTACTAGTATTCAATTTAGGTATACCCGCCGATAGAGGGCGCACCTGCTTACAAAAGGAATGAAGGCGTTGTTCTAAATGTAGACCATGACACCATGTGTTATTTTTAGCAATATTTGTATACAGATAATCTGCCTTGACCTTGAGTCTGATTGGCTAACGAAGTGGGTATTTCGCAATTGCCATGGTGTCAGTCGATGACTCATCAGCCAGATTTAGCAATTTGGGGCCATGTGTTTGCCTAAATTTGTGTATAAATTCTGCTGAAGCTACCTAGGGAAATTATTAATATGATGACGAATAACAAGATAAGCACTTCAAAGAAGATGATTATTTCCAATACAGAGACGGAACACCATCATTCTACGAGCAAAAACTGCAACAGGTTCGTATTGCTGCGCTGATGAACCCCGCATTCCTTCATTTTGTGTGACAAACATTCCCTCTTACCATCAGTCGATAGTTTTTTTTCGGGTGAAATGAACAAAAACACAACTTGTCTCATCGTTGTTTGTTCGCTCTCTCCGCAGTATAAACATGTCTATTACAGTGAAAGCATATTTGCAGACTGCCGACGACAGTCAAAAAATTCGTCGATTTGCTGTGGATCAGGGTGAATCTACAAGCTACGAGTACCTGTCTACAAAAATTACGCAGGTGTTCCCATCTATTGGAAGATCGGATTCGTTCACACTCTCGTACAGAGGTAAGCATATTATTATTTAGTCACTTTTCTGCATTTCATTCGCAACGACTCGGTAACCGAATATATGCCACACTAATGGGCGTGTTTAAAATAAATATTTGCAAATTTTCATATTTTATTTGTATTTCATAATTTGCCGTTATTAAAATTATAGATAATTTTAAAAATTTATATCACATTGTATCGGAATTATTGATTAAATACTAAATACGAAATTGTAACAAAGCATGTACGGTAACGCGAGTGTAAACATGTACACTTCTGACCTCTGTTATTCACTGATTGGCGTCAGCTGCAATATGTATTATATAGCTTTAATTCCCGTCAGTTCTACTGTCTGAAAACTGAGTCATAACATATGGTCGATTTATTCGAACTGTGACGTCATTGCGTATCCGTCACTTATAGAATGTATGCGGGAGGCTCAATATTTGGGGAGCAATTTACGGAAATTATGCATTCACAGTGAGCTTTCCATATGAACAATGACTCGATTACTCAAGCACAAGTGACTGATAAGGGTTACAGAGTGACTTAAATGTAAACAGTGATCCGTTTATAAATGAATAATCAATTATATGCATTGATATTACAAGTAGACATTTAAATATGGGGTTATTTAATGTTCCGTGTCGTTAATTGCCATATAGACATCGCTAAATATAGCATCGGTTCCGTTTTTGAAGTCAAATATATACTATTTGCTTGGTTGTTTGGTTGGTAGGTATGTCCTATCTCCAACGAAGAGACGAATAGTGATATATATTGTCCTACAACACCATCAAGTTTGTGTTCCATGAAACGTTATTTTAAACCACGAACGCACGATTCCTCTTCTTCAAATAAATGTGACAGTGGATGAAATGAAATCCTATAAATGTACAAACTAGTTAAAGTGTTACGATTGAATTTCTCATTGCCATTTCAGATACCGAGGGTGACTTGGTCGCTTTCTCCAATGATACTGAATTGGCCGACGTTCTAGGCCAACTCAATGAAGGTATCTTGAAAGTCTACATACATCGTGAGTATATTAGCAATATGATGATATATTTCATATCAAAGTAAAAAACACTTATAGAAATACAACACGGAAATTCAACACTTGGTAATTCCTGTTGCTTATCCGCATTTTGTTTGACCCGTGCCTTCAAATTCTAGTTTGAAAAATACAAGAGAGATGATGCAATTAACGGGGTGTACGTTGCGCATGTTTAATAATCAATAACACAACGTAAATTTTATTTATCTATAGATTACATACATGCATAACTTACAATGAGTTGCTGTTTTTCGCTTC